ACTTTATTATATTATATCGATGACTGTTTTATTAACACCAGCATTATATATAGTTTTATGGAAAGTTATATGCATGGGTTGAAGTGTTCAAAATCAGCGATAGAGCGTATGTAAATATAAAGGTGAACATTAAAGTCAACACCCACAAGCGACAATCTGTTTCTTGCTAAACGCAATGGCCTGATCGTTGCATTTTGCAGGAAAAACACACACACACACACACACACACACACATATATATATATATATATATGTGTGTGTGTATGTGTGTGTGTGTTAGTGTATGTTAATTCAAAAGTTAAAATATTAAAGGTAGTTAACACTAAGAATGGAAAGTTTTGTGACTGGTAAACAATCAATATTAGATTTCCTTTCATAAAACCATTCTGTTTTTAATGTCAATTCATTGATAATGATTCGTTATATAAATGAAAGCTAAGTAATTTTACTATAGAACTATATTGTGTACTGCTTAAGAATTAAAATCATTGTTGTCAGAATTCACCTACTATAAAATGTACATGGCTTTTCAGCGATTTTGCTAAGATTTACAGGTTTATTAGGAATGAATTCACCATAGTCCGTCATTCAAATATGTGTTACAGCGTGAGATAATATATCAGAGAAATGTTGAAGATTGTTGCTTGAGCAAGAAACAGATAAAGATCCGTAGATTCTTTGCACAGATTTGCCGAAATGCATAATTCACGCAATCAGCTAGAGATCTTTTTTTAGATAAACAATCACAAAATACGCTGGGAAGCCGTAATTCGAGTCGATATTGTATTTTGGTTAGACATATCTGCAAAGAAAAAGCATTGCTATCATTTGACCGAGGTTTACCGATAGAAAAGAAATTGCACAATGTGAAGAAGTCTGGTTTGGTAAATATTAAATAATCTAGAACTATGTGAAATTTGAAACACTAGAATTTAGTTTCTAAGTTTCGGGCAATGAAAAAACTGAGAAAACGGAAAATTAATTGTACGAAACTACGCACCTTA